TATTTCTAGTAAATTATTCTGATGAGTTTTGATGCTGTGGGTTGTTTGAGTTTGGGCTAGCAGCATGGAACGCCATGCATGGTGGTCATTTACATTGCATAGCTTATCGAATGCATCAAAACCAACGACTCTCATGTCAAGCTCGGTGATTATGCACATACTAAGCGTGCTGCTTGCTATGCAGTGGACCATCGGGAAAATCCGATATAATGTCGCTCCTATTGCGATATTTAAAAGGCCTGCCAACCAATGTCTGCAGCTGCGTGAGGTAACAAAGGCATTAGGTTTATTTCGTAAGAGCTTAAGTCGTCACAAATTACGTGATCACAATAAAATATAAATTTCTTTCAAAAGTAGGTTACTGAGATTCTTACTTACATGTGTTTTGCTGTAACAATTGTTTTTACTCGCGCATACTACGGTTCTCCTCTGCTTATTTCATGCTAACATGCACGCTTGTCAGTCGACTTTCTGTTTCATTTGTAGGTCCGATTCACACCCAGAGGCATATCCCATCCATGATCTTGAGCCGACCTGCTTAACTGATCAAACAAGATTGATATCAATTGACCTCCGATTGCGTCAGTCGGCCGCCGCTGATGAAAAAATAATCAGTGACACTGACACATTGATTATATACTGCTACTGCCTGCGGCATCTCCGTCCATTGTCAGAGAATGTGTGCTGAAATGCATCTCTACTGACGATGTTGCAGTGACGCGATATATGCCACATTGCAAGTCAGTTGGCTACGTCTTTCTGTAATGACTGCAGTAGTTTCATAGGAACTGGGTGGATGGTGACGTCAAACTCCTAGTAAATACTGGTGATGACGTCTGTCTCACTTGATGACCGCGACTGTCTTCAGCCACACAGCGGCCGCCGATGGGTTCATCCACAGACTTCTCTGTATAGTATTGAGAAGTATGGGGTTCATCATATGATCATGGTCCATGTTCATTCTACACCGGGGCTAAATTGTTATGTCTGTCTTTTCCTCGGTTCTTCCCTTCCAACACCACCCTATCAACACTCACCCCTCCCATTCCTCTCTCCAGTGCAGTCCTTTTCCCCTTACTTCCCCACCAGAGTCGATCGGCATATCCCACAGGGCGATTTCCAATCGGTTAGTCACTGCCGGCCCGGGGTCTCCCCGCGCCGTACCGAGCTCTACCTGAGATCATCCCCCACCCCAACCCGTTCCATTCCCCTCCGCGGCCTGGTGTGTCACCCGTCTGTGGTCAACATCAGCGGGTCAGCATGGGTTTGCGCTGTATGAGGTAGTACCAGTGAGCACCCGCCACATACGTTGTGAGCTGCGTCGTCCCAAGGGAACATGGTGGACTGATGACCCTGCAGGTAGCAAGTTTTGGGAAAGGTGAAACAGGCTTGATTCGTTATTATTCCCAGATATTCTGATGCTCATTCAGCCAAAATGAATCCAACAAATGCGTGTGATTTGAAATTGTCTACTTCGTTGCTGGATGCTGCACGTATACATGTGAGACTCGTTAAGTAAGTTTTTATGGCGAGTGATATCAAGCGAAGAATTAAACGGTTGAATCATTATGCGAAGGCTCACGACATAAAATTAATGAAGTTGACCGTCATTGTGATCATGTGACTAAGTGACGACTCAGTGAAGTAGATCACATGCATATTTCCGATGCCCCGGTCTTCTGTGGACCAGTCCGGACTCCATTTTCAGTCACCTCACCCAGCTCCTCCCTAATTTCCCACCTCGCCAGCCCGGCCGGTGTAGCGGCGCCCCGGTTCGGTTCTCGCGGTCAGCCGGCGGCCGGCAGTGTCGGAGCCGGTGTCGGTGTCGGGTGTCGGGTGTCGCGGTGCTGGGTGTCAGGTGTCAGATACAGGGGGCGGGACGCAGCGACAGACCTAATGGTGAGGCCGGGCGGTCCGCCGGCCCGCCGTGCGCGGCGGTCCGATCCGGTGAGGCGGCCATACCTGCAGCGATAGTCGGACCGACGTGCTGCACGGCACGGGGATAAAGTTACATCGTTAGCACGCACGCTGGGGAAACAAACAGAGACGCAGATTCAGACGAAGGCATAGATACAAGCACGGCCTTAGGTACAAACGCAGACGCAGTATGAGTACAGGCACAGACGTACAGTACAGATAAAATGATAGACATAGGAGTGTTTTCTAGGAGAAGACTCTCACACATACTTCTACACCACGTTCAAACACGGACAATACATGCACACGTATTCAGATACAACCCCACACACAGACACTGAGCGAATAATAGACGGATCGAAGCGGTAGCAGCGACAACAACAGACGGGCAACCCTGAAGCCCCAAAGTTCTGATCCCTATTAGTGTCCGAATGTGCGATGAAGACCTTGTTATGTGCGTGTCTTGCTGCGAGTGAAGTTTTCAGTGTGCTCAGATATTATTTTCGTGTTTCGATGATTCCGAGATCGATTGCAACTGAAGCCATGATCAGTCTCAAATTATGCACTTGTACGGCAGCCTTTAGTGAACTTAGACCCTAAACTCGCAACTTTATGAATTGTTGTGGTTTCCAGCACCCACAAACTGTTACAAGTATCGCCGATTGGCAAGAAGCTTTAAAAGTTTTGGCTTCCCACTGCCCGTCCCTATCGCCTATCCTTACTTCTCTTTCGTTCTGTCTATTCACACTTCTCAAAATTCTGCTCACATATTTGTTATTCAATGACGAAGCTGTTTTTTAGTCGACATCACACTGTTGAGGAACAAAGGACAGCGGTAGCAGTGGTTGCCTGTCGATATCACCCACTGCTGTTGCATCATTGCGCCAACAATCAGCACACCATCCTCACTATCATTGGTGCGCTGGTGGCGTACGCTGTCATATCCTGTTACTATATTGGTCAGGGTGAGCTTTACACGCTTCACCAAGCGGAACGAGACCTCTTTCTTACATTGGAACGGAGACGAGTCAGACATTCAAACGCGACCGCCATACACACTGTGTAATGCTGTGTCATTACGAAAATTGCAGGTCATTAGGAGGCATTCATTACTTTTGGCCGTGTTGAACAACGATGCTCTTTGCTTTATGTCCCTATTGTATAAGCAAACATTTATCTCCGTCAATATTTATGTGCAATTTTATGATGCCATGCGATATTATGAAATAGTTTTGGTCATATTAGGTACTTTTTAATTTAGATAATTAGTGCCACTTACCCTTCGGACAATGCCGGAACATAAAGGTACAGACCACCGCTAAAGTAATGTGCGGTTTTACCAATCTCAACGGACGGCTTTGACTGGCGATTTGTTTATGCAGAGTGATCGAAAAGAAGACGTCAATAGATAAATTTCAAGCTGCAAGGGCGACGATGCATGTAAGCTACATTAAAGTTTCATTGTAGTCTGGCTTATCGTTCCCAAGCTTCAGAAGCAGAATATACCTACCCATGACTGAAACCGTACATTAGGTACTTCTGCTGTGGACTGTACCAGTCTTCACTTCAACCTCTGATAGCCATGCCAGCGAGAAATGCAGTGAACAAACATATGGGGCAGTCTGCCAACTCGGACCCAAGGATTGCTGCGCAGTGGTAACGATGCTTATTCTTTTCAATGTTTGACTTAAACTTTTCATCCAACATTTCATCAAACATAAATGTATCCATCGCTGCAAAACGAGCAAGTTGTACAAACAGCATTGTTGCGTTGCTTAGAAAATATACCAAACCCCACAGTTCTATCTTTTAGCAATGAAAAACAAAGCTACTAGACACCGCCTGGTCCCGTGGTCGCACCCATTCATTTGCTGCAGCGCGTAACTCTGTGTTCTGGCAGCGGACACTCGCCCATTCCGATACTCTGTTTAGATGACTGCTCCCTTTCACCGTCTCTGGTTTGTTCAGTTCACTGAACAGCGGAACAGACGAGCTGAACACAGCTGAACAGGCGAACGGCTGACCCCCGGCAGCAGCTCGGCAGCGGTGACCTTTTTTGCCGCGGTGCGTGGCGCAATGCATACCACGCCGCGCAGCATCGCGCGCGACCTCTGAACCGCGGCGGGCTCACAAACACTTCAATTTGGCGTGTTTTCCCCTCCGAGACTGGCTGGTGTTCGTTCAAAGTGCGAGCCGGTGCCGGAGCGTCGCACTGCTGTGAACTCTCAGTTGAAACTGTGAATCATAAACACTCGAGATTAGAATTGTGTGGGAAATAGTTTCAAACTTATTTTCCAGACTTATCTCTAAAGTTTTCTCCTATTTACGTCATCCAGCTGATAAAGCCAGCGTGTTTCAACCAGTTGGAATGTTTTCGAAAGAGCCGTAAGCTGAGTGTCGTGTGCTCGAATGCCTCGTAAAGAATTTCTGAATGATGAGGCTGTACCTATTTATATTCGTGTCCGGCTCTCGCCAACTTGAATTATTAAACGTTTCTGCGAAATTGCAGCAGAAACTTCTTCAATCGCTAATCACCATGTTGTCCAGTAAAAGTTCTAACAGTATCGATTCGCCAGTCTGAGAAGTTTTCCGGTGCCTCCTTTTGTCCGCCCTTTGGTACGGGGTGTAATGCGGTACAGTATAACCTTCAGGTGTACCAAGTAGTGACATCTAGCGACAAAATTGTGCGACTGCTGCCCCGCAGCTATCGGCGCCCAAAGCATGTCGGCTTGATGGTACCTTTTTATCCTTATAAGCCGGATTGGATTAGTTCATCTCCCAACAATGGAGCGGTTGTGCTGAGCTCCACTAAAGGAATCGTCATTTGCATGGGACACGCGACTTGTCGATCTCATGTGTTATAAAATAATTGGGTACTTATTTACACTGTTCCTCTACTTAATGTTCCAATTATGCTGAGTCCACTTCTTAATCAGACCTAATTCTAATAAACCATGAAACTACACCCCAGTTGCTGCCTTATCGTGTGGTTAGATGTTTGAAATGATCAATAACGGCAGTTTATGGTGAAAGGTAATTCCCTCATTTCTCTGCTGTGTGACACCCCCTTCTCTCCTTGACAGAACGGCTACTCTCCGGCTCGGTCGCCGGGCAGCGGCTCCCATACCAGCTCCCACGGCTCCGGTAAGGAGGTGGAACTGAGCAAAACCAACCTTTACATCCGCGGACTGGGCCCGGAGACCACCGATGAGCACCTGCGGACCATGTGCGCCGGCCTGGGTCAGGTCAACTCGACCAAGGCCATCCTGGACAAAACCACCGGACAGTGCAAAGGTCAGTGAGAGGGAGATAAATAAGATTCGGGGATAGTAAGAGTTGCGCTGGACACAAGGCTATCTGAGACAGTTGACGACTGGTGCAACTGTCGTTGGCGAGGGTATATACAATGGGTCTGGGCGTGCGAGATTTGTAACTTGATAGCACATCAAATGTCAGTGGTAAGGACATCGGGCGAGCGATATGTTGGGGCTGCCGTGGGGATGAGCTTCGTCATGCTGTAGGTTTCGCTCATAAATTTCGCCACCGCTTGTGACCAAATGCTCAAACATGGGCCAATGGAGTCGTGGCCATGAACTTCTGCGCGATAAGGGTCAGGTATGGGGACAAACTGCTCCGGGTTAATGTTTCCAAGGGTTAAGACCTGTTGTTCGTCCTGCTTTGACATTGAAAGGCTATATTGCTAAACCATCATGGGCCAGGAAAGACGTTACGAATAAATGATACATAGTTAAGTCCTCTTTGGCACAATTTTTTAAATTTGCTTTTAGAAATGCGGACTCCCTGCGCAAAGTGGTGGCTTTTCCGCTTGTCCCCTTGCTCGACAGATCAGCCGATGGTTTATTCTTTGATTGCATCGTATAGTTATTCATTTACATCGTCCCCAATAAACGCTTACGTCGCGTCTACCTGTCCTTGTCCCTGTCGTCTCTCTTTCAGTCTCTCTCGCCTTGTTTTCTCCCTGTCGACGTTCCCTGTCGCTCCGTTTTTCGTCGGTCCTCTCTGTCGCCAGTCTGCCTGTCGGTGGCAGCCGCGGCGCAGAAGCACGTCGCCACTACCCGGCGGTGATTCAATTAGATTTGATTGACTCAACTAGCCCGGCCGGCGGCCCGCTCCTGCCGCGGGGAAGGGTGACGTCCTGCCCCTCCCCTCCGGCGGCCCGCGCGCCGCCGCCGGCCACAATGGATGACCGCCGCCGGCCGCGCCATGGCACTAATTGGCACTGCCCTGATGGCCGAGAGGATGGCAGCTACTGCCAGCTCGTTGGGAACGCTGGAGAAGGGCGGTCATCAGAGCTCAGAGGGTGCCAGCGGAGGGACATTGCCACGGCGTGGCGCGGGAAATACAGCATGCTCTGGTGTTGTAAACAAAATCAAACAACATAGAGGATAAGGGGACTGATCGCTCATGTGCTGATACGATGACACATTGCTCAAACAATTTAAATGTAATTTGGGATATAAATATCGAGTAATAAGCTGTATTTTCTACGGTACGTACGGTACGGTCAGTTACGGTACGTAACCGCGAGAATTCACTGCACAAGGACAGACGTCTCTTGCTTTCAAATACCCCGAGCCACGACATTTTATCTCTGTCATGGAACTCCCTTTCTCGACACCGGTGGATACCCTGCTAAGTAATTCACCGCTGCTCCAACAGGCTGCTATCTCTGGCGAGCTCATTTCCTGTGGGACGGGGCGTCATGATCTAAACTGTGCCGCGTCGAGCCGGTCCACAAATAGCACCCTCATTACGTCGAGTCGAGCCGGACACCGCCGATCCCGAATTGGACGCGGGGACACGGCACCTCTTTCACAGCAGTCGGGCAGCGTTAGACGCCATTAATGTTAAACGAGCTGAATGAAAAAGTAATTGAATTGGCGTGTTTAAACGGCTTTGGTGGAATCATTTTCCGTCAGAATTTATTGTTTGGACACATTTATCATGTGATTGGTAATATTTGCTAAAAATAGCCAGTGTTTACTTCAAATCTCCTGGCAGGCTGGATACAGTATTGATTTTCTCTGCTTCAAAGAGAACCTATACAGATAACATGCTGCAGCTTCCAACTAACTACATTTACAAACACAGACCTACTTAAAGTAAACGTGCATTATTCAGAGCACATCTCGAGCCGCTATTCGTACGCTCCCAGATCGTCACAATATGGCTTTTTATACATATAGACTAGTGTTGTAATGGAACCTCAGTGCTACCCATAGGCCATAACATATTATATAATAGGCCAACCAACCATTCAACTAACACTCACCCACCTCTTTCCCGCTGCTCTGCGCAGGGTACGGTTTCGTCGACTTCGACACCGCAGAGGCGGCGCAGAAGGCTGTGAAGCACCTGGTCGCCCGGAACATCCAGGCTCAGATGGCTCGCCAACAGGAGCAGGACCCGACCAACCTGTACATCACCAACCTGCCGGCGTCCTTCACTGAGCGGGAGCTGGAGGCGCTGCTGCAGCGACACGGATCTGTCATCTCCACCCGGATACTGAGGGACGACAACGGCGTCAGCAGGGGCGTCGGATTCGCCAGGTGAGAAAAGGAGGGAAGAGGGAGAGAGAGAGAGAGAGAGAGAGAGAGAGAGAGAGAGAGAGAGAGAGAGAGAGAGAGAGAGAGAGGGGGAAGGAGGGAAGGAGGGAGAGAGGGAGGGAGTGGGGGAGTGGGGAAGGATGGAAGGTGGGGAGAAGGGACAGCAGAGAGATGTAATAAAAGGTCAGTAGAGGAGCTCAAAGAAGGAGTAAGCAGTGGAACGAAAGACAGAGAGAAACTTGAGATAGGTAGAGAGGGGGCTGAAAAATTGAGGAAAGTGGGAGGATGTTTAGGGGGAGCGGGGTCGCTCGGAAGTGTGATTAGGCACGCAGCTGTTTACCAGCGCAATCAAGCAGGTTTTATGTTCTATGCGTAGAAATTATAAGTCGATACTAACGTTGATCCCCCCTCCGCCAGGATGGACCTACCCGAGACCTGTGACAAGGTGATCCGCGCGCTCAACGGCCACACTCTAGACAACAACCAGGGGCTCCAGCTGGCGGTGAAGTTTGCAGACGGAAACAAGAAGCGCCAGCAGCAGAAGGCGGTGGCCGCTGCCGCTGCCGCTGCTGCTGCGGCCGCCGCCCAGCAGGAGCCCCGCTGGCGCCCCCTGGAGCCGGCCGGACCGCGGCTGGCCGGCTACGAGGCGGCGCTGTCGGCGGCCGGCCGCTACCCGCTGCAGCAGCTGCCCTACTGGCCGCAGCCGGCGCTCGTCTACCCGGGCGGCTCGCTGGCCGGCCAGCACGAGCTGGACACGTTCAGCCTGCTGCAGAGCATGCAGCAGCTGCAGCTGGCGGCGGCGCCGCACCCGGCGCACCCGGCGCACCCGCAGCAGTACGGCGGCTACCCGGCCTACGGGGCGGCGCCGTACCCGCCGGCGGCCACTGCCGTCAGCCTGGCCGGCTTCTACCCGCCGCACCACCACCATCACCACCTGGTGCCGGCCGTGTCGCTGGCGCCCGCCGAGGCCGCTGGTGCTGACTGAGCGACACTCAGGTGAGCGGACATGATGGGGTGTACTGGGGGAATGGAGAGGGTAAGGACTGGGAGAGGGATGAGCGCTGGAGAGTGAGAGATGTCTGGCCTGGGGCCGCGGAGCGAGTTTTTGGGTAGTTTTGAAATGCGTTTTGCTTTTTTCGCAATTGCCTGAAAAATTACTAACAGAATCAAACTTTGCCGATTTCAGGTTGGTGCTGATTGGGGGGCAGAAGTGTGTTGGCGGATGAAGGAGCTTACAGGCGTCGGTGCTGCCACTGAGAGTGGAAGAGTCGTCCGACTTTCGGCCGTTGATGGCGCTAGTGTGCGCGACTGTGGAGCTAGAGTCAGTGTGCGGCCTCGAGGCGGACGAACGGACATACATGACCGCCTTACGAGAGGGAAGACTTTCTTCAGTGAACGGACAGACTCTTTGATTGGAGTATGAACTCCAGTGAGGGTGTGCTGAGGTTCCATTCCACTGAAATTCCGACACCGCGCCGCACTGTGGGGTGTGGAATCACTCGATTTGGTAGCTGCGTGAATCACCAGTTCGCGATGTTTCGCCAGACGGTCTCCAGTGGTCCGCCGCTGGTCCCCGTCGTCCGCCGCTTGTCCCCGTGGACCATTTTTCGAGGCCTCGCGTCCCATCTCGAGTCTGCTGCCTACGACGACTGACTGTCTCATGTTTTATACGGCCTACATCCTGAATATTTATATTTAATTTCCTGCCTTTTGCGGAGTTTGCCTGTGTGAAGTGTGTCCCGAGTGCCGTTCGCCTTTCTTGGGTCGTTGGGGTTATAGATTAGGTGGACGTAGTAATTTGTGCGGGGTTGGAGTGCTCTTTGCGGTGCCTTCGTCTTTGTCTCGCCTTACTCTCGACTTGTCTCCTTTTTTAAATATCTTCTTTGATTGCTTCTAGTTGACTGTGCTGCATGGTGAAATTCATGCAGAGGTGATAGCTGGTAATTCCATAGGAGAAAGATTCGGATGTTATGATAGGTAAATGCTATGATCAGCAGCCTGCAGATCAATCTACATTCCTCAGAGAACATTTATTGTGCCATACAGAGACTATTGTAAACCGAGCCGTGGAGAGGTGTAAGATTCATGAGAGAAAAGTCCGAGATCGGCCATCCCCTAACCCTAAAAATTGCATTTCTTTACGATTTGTTACAATTTGAGATTATACAAGACGTGTGGCGATATTTTCCCGCGTCTGACTACATCATGGATGTCGAGGGGATATATTTCATATCTCTCCTTCATGCCATATCGTGCTGAGGTGTATAGGAGAAATGTGTCGTCTAAACTGTGGCTGGTAGATTTGTTTGAGGTATTGTCTCGGCTGGGTCTGACTTCCCCACTGGTTCAGCCACTGGTCTGCGCTGTCGTGATGTGGTGAAACAGACTACATGTCACCACGAAAATAGCTCCGAAATGGAAGAGGTCTGGTGCCTGGACTTCAAGGAGATTCCGGGAGGACTGTCCCCCCCCCCCCCCCCGGATAGCCGGCCCGCTATTTTTGTACATATTTTTGTGACCGTCAATGACCACTGTCTCGGAACGTTGCGCATGTTTGAAGTTTTGGCGACGGCTTGGGAGGTGCTGTTTGTATGACCAGTGGTTGCTGTTTGTATGACCAGTGGTTGCTGTTTGTATGATCAGTAGTGCAAACCGCCAGGGGATTGAGCGGGTTATGTTGACGGACTGTCCGAGTGAAGGCCGCACTGGCGACACGACATTGTCTCTGAGCGGTTCCGAGAATTAGGGGCAGTGGCGGGAGTGGCGGGTTTGTTTGGGAGTGTGGATGTTTGGGATTACGATTGTCATGTTTGTCGGGGATTGTGAATGAGTTGGGTGTTATGTATGTCCGGGTATGTGAGCCGGGGACCAGTTCGTCAGGTGTGCGGCAGTGTAGCGCCCACAGTCCGTGTGCCGGGCTGGACTGAGGGCTGCGATGGCAGGGGTATAGGTGCGGCAGCGTGCCCAGCAGAGAGGAGCCGCTGGGTGACCCGGCCGTGTCCTCAAGGACGGCCGGCTGGGCCGCCGGCGGAGAACAATACACGAAAAAAAAACATACAACGGTAGTGTGTGGAGACTGAGTGGTGGCTGCTGAGGTATATACTGAGGCAGGATTGGGCACCTCGCCTGCCCCTGCGCGCACTGCGGCCAGCCGCCAGTCGACCGGGTGCGGGGTCACGGGCCGGGTCAGTGGTCAAGGTCACCGACTGCGACTGCACATCAGACAGTGGAGTGGACAGTGGCGATTGGCGAATCAGCACATCGACATTTGCGCAGTGCATTAATGGCCAACCTGAGGTCAGTTCAGTACCGTGACCTCTCCATTGTAAATCAATTGGTGAACTCTGGAAATTATTTGCACCGGAAGTGGTAAAATCTGATTTTTTTAAAGCATGCATATTTGCTCTCTCTCTCCCCTCTCCTCTCTCTCTCTCTCTCTCTCTCTCTCTCTCTCTCTCTCTCTCTCTCTCTCTCTCTCTCTCTCTCTCTCTCTCTCTCTCTCTCTCTCTCTCTCTCTCTCTCTCTCTCTCTCTCTCTCTCTCGTCACGTTACTGGCATATGCCGTTGACAATATGGTGCACTTCAAATCTTGTGTGAACCGTCAATTTGGTGTCTAGGGCCATTCAAAGCATATAAATCAGTTTTTTTTGTAGCTCCCGATCAAAACGAGTCGCCACCAATGAACTCTGAATAGATTCAGCTAAGTTTCCGGGAGTGCCAGCAGTCTGCGCACTTCCCAGGGGTGCTTGCAAGGAAATACATTAATAAAACAACAACCAAACAACATTGCGGCTCTATTTCCCGGATGCCCGACGATAAGGAAGATTATATACCGATGAGCGAGCTGCCTGTGAAATGGTTAGACTCTGACCTTCCCTGTCTCTTAGGAAGACTAACACCAGGTAAATAGCGCATATTCTCAAGCTCGAAGCTAAAGTGAAACATTTTGTTCCGTTACTGACAGCAACTCCAACTGAAAAAAGTAAGACTTCCTGGTTGCAAATCATATGCTTCATAACTTAGCTTCAAACAGACGTAAAACGTCTCGGAGCGACCTCAATAGAAGTCAAACTGCGGCAAAAGCAGATGGATCTTACAATGTTCACCCCAAGTATATTATGACTGCCTAATTGCTTTTCAATGTTTTATCTCATCAATTTTGACCTTTGCTGTCTTACTTTGTATTACAAGAGTCGTGTTTGCATGGCGCAAAACATGCAGTGTCCACTAGCCTTATCAAAAATGTGCAATAATCAACATAACGTCTATCCTTATTCCTTACCGAGTAATGCAACTACATTAAAGTTTAATGCGTGTCTTTCATCACATTGTACCTATGCGTAGTTTGAATATGGTTGACTGATGGTTTATCGAATAGCTGGGGTTGTAAGTAGCCGAACATTTTCACATTTACATTAGTAGCCATTTTCACATTTACATCCTACGTCTACATAATTCGTATTGGTGATTATGAGAAATATTCAAATCGGAAGCCGTTTTAAAAAGACCTCTCAAATCAAACATGCAAATCATACCAAAATGCGTGTAAATGTAATTCCAAACGAGCCGTTTCCGTTTTAAAATTATTTCAATCAACTTTTGCCTTTGAAAGCAAATGTGCACCTGACATGTCGTACTTGCACCGTTCTGTCCACTAAGTGCTTAAATATGTAATATCCTAGTTCTCTGTTCTGTTCGCGACCTTCCCAATTCAGCATTCAAACACTTCAAACACAATTATGTGAAACGTTAGTGTTTTATTGTGCTGTTTATTACACAAATAAATCTTTTACAGTATTGTTACAGTCATCAGCCTTGTTGCTCAGTTCATTTAGTGTTACTCAGTCCAGTTGGGAAGTTCAGTCGATATCCCGTTCAGGGATGTGAGATGTCTTCTCGTTCCGTCCGCTCCTAGAGCACGTACTGGCGGCCGGTGCGGTGGACGGGTCGCTCCTGCCGGCCGCCGCGCCGCGGGTAGTCCCGCCGTCGCTGGACGTCCTGCCGGTACTGGAACTGGTTGTCCCGGGGCGGCGATCGGCGGCCGTTCGGTCCAGGCCCTCCGCGCTGGAACGGACCGCCCCGCCGGCCCCCCGGGGGACCACGCCGGCCCGGCCCGCCGCGGCGGCCAAACGGCCGGGTGGGCCGGGTGGGCCGCGTCGGCCGGGTGGGGCGCGTGGGCCGCGTGGGACGCGTGGTGGGTGTTGTGGGCGTGGTCGGCGTGGTGGGCGTGGTGGGCGTGGGCCGCGTCGGACGGGTCGGGGGCGTGGTGGGCTCCTCCGTGGTCCAACCGTCGTAGCTGTAGTCGCTGTCACCTGCAACGGAAAACAACTTTCTTAGTTCAGGACGAGGCATCGATGCCGATGATATGCACCATTTATGAGAGACGTAAAATAGGTAACTAAATGTTACAATGTATTTATGGCCGCAGAAAAAAACAGCAACTAAATGTTCTCAGTAGCCAGGAAGAGCCTATGAGTAAAGAACAGTTCGATGATTTTTATGCGATCAATTATGAATGTTGCATGCGGAATGAGCGATCCATACCACGTGAGCCAACTCAATAAAAGAAGGTGCTTTCCAGACGGGAAAAGGTGCATAACATTGACCAAATAGCGGTTAATGGATAGTTCATCGGTTTTTATAAAGGTCAGCATTGTTGCGGGCATCGGCTACTTATCCGCGGATAAGGGAGTGACCGATCTTTCGATATGCAAGTAGGGACGATTTGGTGCTCTCAGTACCTAATGAGGAAAGGGATCAACACGATGAAGACAGACCACAGGTAGCTTGTCCTCGGGTCATTTATATTTGCCTGGCTCTCTGGGAGAGCTATGTTCGTGAGTCACCCGGTTGGAGTGATGTTCGCAGGTCTTTGTTTTACCATTCGTTTATAAGCGATTCAGGTGTCGAGTTCAAGCATTTCCTTCATTGACCATACTAATTGATATCGGTGCCTCATGCTCGCTAATGACCGGAAAATCCAGCACTTGTCATTTTCCTATCCGACTGCCCAGTTATGCGAATGCTGGGTACCATGCCCAGTTTCCTCACAATATCTATATGCGTTTTCAGAGGAAATAGTCCACTGAGTATGGGAGTCGTCGTCAGTCGCTTATCAGTCAGCCGTTTTGGTACAGTACGGTTTCCAGTGACCCTAAGTGCGGTCCTTACCCCCGCGGTGGTGGAACCAGCGGCGGCGGTGGGGCGGCGGCCGGCGGCGGTGCGGGCGGGGGCGGGGGCGGCGGCGACGCTGCCTCTCTCTCTGCCAGAAAGGGCGCCTCTCCCGCCCGAAGCCCTCGGATACCGGTGCGCCCCTGCCTGCGGTCCTCCGTCCCTCGTGGACACCAACTTCCACTGTCGAACACCAGCGTGAGCCCTTTCAGCGCGAGATCTTACCTACCGATTGTAAACAAACGAAATGCGAAAATAAATACGACATTTTAATCAATTTTTCATCGAGGCATGAAAATCACATGCATGGATTTTAGCTAGCTTTGAAATTCCTTTGTTCTCTTTATCAAAAATAAAAAAGATGAGGACGCATTTGCCGTTACAATTCTAAAAGCACATAATTTCAAAAAAAAACTTCCAAACCCTTCCGAGACGAGTGACCTTAGCGTGTAACCCGCAACCGTGTTTTAACTTTTTTGACGGTTAAACATATGTCAGTTCAAAAAAAAAAAAATGGAATGTGTTAACGCGTTACGCATCTCAAATATGTATCTGTCACAGTTGTTACACTGCTCCCGATGTCTTTATCGACAAGTTGCATGATGAAGACGTAACCGTTTCTGGTTCTGACCACCGACATGGTGTTTCGCGGCATGCATTTCACTTCTCTACCATGGGCCGCTTTTGTTCGGCTCTTGTAGAGCTCGTAGTTACGGACTCTGCACCCGGCATCCTTCCCCTAATTTTGAGTCTGGCGCCGTTTGAGTCAGTTTTTCCACCGCCACTGCCCGGCTGCCGCCGCCGCCGCTGGCCAGCTCTGGGTATGGTCCTTTCGAACCTGTATCAATATTATAATAATTTATTTACGAGTGTATGTTGTATTCGATTCGATATAAAAGAAAACGTTTTTATATGCTCAGGAATTTCAAAACAAAGTTAGCATGATAATTCTCATCTGCTGTCTAGCAATAAATTGATAGCAAATGTCCTTATTTTTATTCAAGATAGTTTTGTTCTTAGAAAGGCAGCTGCGACAGTTTGCAATTGGATAGGCTGCGATTATGATATTTTCTTCTTATTGCATTTCAAGTAACTTTCAAGCTGTGAAACATGATTTCCATCTGACACTGTTTTTTATAGATCTGGTATTTGTCATTGAACATTTTCTTGTTTTGAGCACATAAGTAAGTTCAAAATACCCAGGCGCACTATTTTTATCAGCATCAAGATTAGTTAATTGCCGTGTGAGATGACCATTTTATGACTTGCTTTATATGATAAAAGTTTCAGGGAATCGTTTTTGTTTTTATTGGCATGCAATTAAGTTACAATGCAACATCTCGCATTGCTTGCGCTTATTCCCGTTTGCCTTTGACTATAAATTATTTTATCGAAGTTTTGCACAACAGTTTGCGGTACTAATGGGTATGAGTGATTGTTGAGTATCGGGGCACCAGCTAGGAGTCTAAGTATCAGTCTCACCGTCTGAGCCGTAGTCCCAGCTGCCGTAGTCGTTGTACCCGCGCTTGTTCTGCCGGGCCGGCGAGCTCGACCCGCGGCTGTCGTAATAGTCGTACCCCGAGTTTGAGCTGTAGCTGGACGGCGCAGAGTAGTCGGCCACTGCGTTCCAGTCCCGGTACTGGCCTGAGACGGGCGGTGGGGCTGAGTCAGGCGCCGACGGGGACCGAGGAGTGTGATTTAAACCAAACTACAGTCGGAGAACATGCCTTTGGTGAATGAAAACGAGATCTGTGATGGCAAATGAATATAGCTAGCTAAATTCTGACACACGAAAACACATGACGTCGCTCTCAAGCGAACAGAGCAGACAAGCAATAAGAATAGTGCTGAGATTTGAATAACAAAATACTCGCCTTCCTCAGAGTGATATTTTTTCAGCTATACTAGAAATTCTCACATTCCACTACTACTCTCTCACCGTGGGCAGGCAGCAGTGAGCAGCTCACTGTGAGAAGAAGGGCCAGCCGACCGGCGGCGGCCACTGATGACGTCATGGTTGGTCCTGCTCGCGGTGCCGTCGCCAGCCGACTGAACAGCGCCGCGCCGAGCCCGTCATATAGACGCGGTTTGGCCGCGACCTTCCCCGAACTGCCACTGAAGCCGGCGGTGCATTGTTTCCATCGGACGCAGCGCCGGTGTCGGCACCTGGCGTTTTTATTAGAGCAGCTTTGTTTCCTGACCGTATACTCACGATTTGATGGTATTGTTTCATTCTTTCCGCCTCTGCTCCTTCCCGGCTTAGCCAGGGCTGGAAAAAGTGTTTCGGTGGTTGTCGTCCAAAGAAAAACGGGCTTATTTGGTTGTCAACTCAAGATGTCTAACCCGCGCCCCGCTGAGGGATGTGCGTGAAGTTGGCGTCGGATTCGGATTCGTATTCAGCGTCGAGTACCGAATCACTTGAAAACGTCATATCTGGTCAATTCGGGGACGGGGAGCACGAATATGACATTAATTTTGCCCTAGCAGGTATCCCTTATCCCTTAATCGTCCCTTAAACGACGGGGCGCGCCAAAAGTGCCTCAGGGGCTCTTCCGATCACGAAAATAATGGTCCCAGGCGATTCCCCGGGTCGATATCTAGCCGCACCACCACTAACTTCACACGTGCCTCATATCCCTTATCCCTTAATCGTCCCTTAAATGACGGGGCGCGCCAAAAGTGCCTCAGGGGTTCTTCCGATCGCGAAAATAATGGTCCCAGGCAATTCCCCGGGTCGATATCTAGCCGCACCACCACTAACTTCACACGTGCCTCACATCCCTCATCCCTTAATCGTCCCTTAAACGACGGGGCGCGCCAAAAGTGCCTCAGGGGTTCTTCTGATCGCGAAAATAATGGTCCCAGGCGATTCCCCGGGTCGATATCTAGCCGCACCACCACTAACTTCACACGTGCCTCATATCCCTCATCCCTTAATCGTCCCTTAAACGACGGGGCGCGCCAAAAGTGCCTCAGGGGTTCTTCCGATCGCGAAAAGAATGGTCCCAGGCGATTCCCCGGGTCGATATCTAGCCGCACCACCACTAACTTCACACGTGCCTCATATCCCTTATCCCTTAATCGTCCCTTAAATGACGGGGCGCGCCAAAAGTGCCTCAGGGGTTCTTCTGATCGCGAAAATAATGGTCCCAGGCGATTCCCCGGGTCGATATCTAGCCGCACCACCACTAACTTCACACGTGCCTCATATCCCTTATCCCTTAATCGTCCCTTAAATGACGGGGCGCGCCAAAAGTAAATGACGGGGCGCGCCAAAAGTGCCTCAGGGGTTCTTCCGATCGCGAAAAGAATGGTCCCAGGCGATTCCCCGGGTCGATATCTAGCCGCACCACCACTAACTTCACACGTGCCTCATATCCCTTATCCCTTAATCGTCCCTTAAATGACGGGGCGCGCCAAAAGTGCCTCAGGGGTTCTTCCGATCGCGAAAAGAATGGTCCCAGGCGATTCCCCGGGTCGATATCTAGCCGCACCACCACTAACTTCACACGTGCCTCATATCCCTCATCCCTTAATCGTCCCTTAAACGACGGGGCGCGCCAAAAGTGTCTCAGGGGTTCTTCCGATCGCGAAAATAATGGTCCCAGGCGATTCCCCGGGTCGATATCTAGCCGCACCACCACTAACTTCACACGTGCCTCATATCCCTTATCCCTTAATCGTCCCTTAAATGACGGGGCGCGCCAAAAGTGCCTCAGGGGTTCTTCTGATCGCGAAAATAATGGTCCCAGGCGATTCCCCGGGTCGATATCTAGCCGCACCACCACTAACTTCACACGTGCCTCATATCCCTTATCCCTTAATCGTCCCTTAAATGACGGGGCGCGCCAAAAGTGCCTCAGGGGTTCTTCCGATCGCGAAAAGAATGGTCCCAGGCGATTCCCCGGGTCGATATCTAGCCGCACCACCACTAACTTCACACGTGCCTCATATCCCTTATCCCTTAATCGTCCCTTAAATGACGGGGCGCGCCAAAAGTGCCTCAGGGGTTCTTCCGATCGCGAAAAGAATGGTCCCAGGCGATTCCCCGGGTCGATATCTAGCCGCACCACCACTAACTTCACACGTGCCTCATATCCCTTATCCCTTAATCGTCCCTTAAATGACGGGGCGCGCCAAAAGTGCCTCAGGGGTTCTTCCGATCGCGAAAAGAATGGTCCCAGGCGATTCCCCGGGTCGATATCTAGCCGCACCACCACTAACTTCACACGTGCCTCATATCCCTTATCCCTTAATCGTCCCTTAAATGACGGGGCGCGCCAAAAGTGCCTCAGGGGCTCTTCCGATCGCGAAAATAATGGTCCCAGGCGATTCCCCGGGTCGATATCTTGCCGCACCACCACTAACTTCACACGTGCCTCATATCCCTTATCCCTTAATCGTCCCTTAAATGACGGGGCGCGCCAAAAGTGCCTCAGGGGTTCTTCCGATCGCGAAAATAATGGTCCCAGGCAATTCCCCGGGTCGATATCTAGCCGCACCACCACTAACTTCACACGTGCCTCACATCCCTCATCCCTTAATCGTCCCTTAAACGACGGGGCGCGCCAAAAGTGCCTCAGGGGTTCTTCCGATCGCGAAAAGAATGGTCCCAGGCGATTCCCCGGGTCGATATCTAGCCGCACCACCACTAACTTCACACGTGCCTCATATCCCTTATCCCTTAATCGTCCCTTAAATGACGGGGCGCGCCAAAAGTGCCTCAGGGGCTCTTCCGATCGCGAAAATAATGGTCCCAGGCGATTCCCCGGGTCGATATCTTGCCGCACCACCACTAACTTCACACGTGCCTCATATCCCTTATCCCTTAATCGTCCCTTAAATGACGGGGCGCGCCAAAAGTGCCTCAGGGGTTCTTCCGATCGCGAAAATAATGGTCCCAGGCAATTCCCCGGGTCGATATCTAGCCGCACCACCACTAACTTCACACGTGCCTCACATCCCTCATCCCTTAATCGTCCCTTAACCCGCGCCCCACTGGGGTCTGCGTATAACACGCCCTACTGGGGGGGGGGCTATTCATAGCCCCCCCTCCTAACTCCAAAACTACTGGGCCGATCGTCAAAATTCAAACGGCGTCTGATAGCCCCGGAAAAACTGTCGAGCGAAACCTAATTTCATTGACCTCGAGGTCACCGATGACGTCACAGGTCAGGTCAAAGTAAAAATTATTAGCATTTTGGCTTCTTCACGTTTTGGGCTCTGGCTTCCGTCTTACAAGTCAGATGTCGTACTGACTTAAAAGTCACCGTCCAGCACAAGAAGAAGATCTATTCTGCTCTCCTCTACACCTTCCAGCCAACTAAACTCACAATCCCCCTCCTGGCACATCCACAGCTCGCAGACACACATCTCACATCATCACCAACCAATCGCGCTGTCATACGTCATATATCTCACATCATAACCAGCCAATCATGCTCCCATACGTCATGCCCGGCCCAGCTACTTGCAGGGTGTAACTCGGCCCTGCCGGCATCAGATGCCGGCGGCTATGACCAACGCTGGGTCACCGGTTCACAGCTCGACGCTGAAGCTGACTCACACTTATACGGCTCACATTCATCCTTGCGTCACGCTACATCACCCCCTGGTTCTGAAGAACCACATTACTCTACATGTTACATGTCATTCAATCAACGCATCAACTACATCCTCTGGCACACCATCGCCATATCTTTCCGGCTCTCTTCGAACACGCGTACCACGCCGCAGCGTCGCAGGCACGAACGTTTCACTCTCGTCTGCGGACACATCGGACCCGGTCGGTGGATCGGAGTCCGGGGACTGAGCGACGCTGGGCGGCCGCGTGTCCGACTCCGTCACATCACTCGGAGCTGGCGACACACACACGCCATCACACTCGCTGTCATCAGACCACTCCACCGTTGGCGCTCGCAGAGCCCCTGGCCTCGGACATTCAGGGACGGTCAACCGATGTCGGAGGTTTCGCACATGTCGTGGGACATTATCGACTTCGATTGTCTGGGCCGAAACGACGCCTGTCACAATACCCTCGTCTGACTTTACAAAACATCGGTCGCCCCGCCGCCGAACCCACACCATGTCCCCTACCTGGTATACACCGGGTTTCTTCAGCGGCAGGGCGTCACCAGGCTCGTCTGAGGTTCTGCGGGGCGTCACGTCAACGTCTCGGCCAGGGTGTCGAAGCACCCCGTTGATTGGAGCTGTGGCCGGGTCACTGCCATCCTTCGGTGTTACGTTGTATCGATGGACTGCTTCAGCAACGGAGCAGGACTGCCGGGCCACCATCACTTTGATGGTACGATGATGGCGCTCGACGATGCCGTTCCCGCCGGGCTCGTAGGCAGCGCGGAACCGGATGGATACGTCCCAGCGAGCCGCGAACGCTAACATGACCCGGCCACGGAACTCTGTCGCATTGTCCGTGAGTATTTCCGCCGGGGCTCCACGCTCTAGAAACACGTTCTCCAGCTCACTCACAATCTCCAGAGCTCCTGCCCGGCGAAGCCGTCGCCATATGGCGTACCTCGACGGCCCGCAGTCCACCAGCGTCAGGTATGGGTGGCCGTGCACGTGGGTGACATCCATGGCCAGGCGATCCCACGTGCGTTCTGTTCCGAGTGACCCACCGGGCCAGCGCTCCGGCGCCGGGTCAATCGAGGCACACGTCTGGCATCGTCTGACCACGTCTCGCACAGCTGGTTTTGACACCCGCCTCACCCCCAGCTCACGTCGGGCGTACCACAACGTTCTCCTCACTCCTTGGTGACCGATGTTTTCGTGGATGGTGCGGATGTCACTCGCTGAGGCACTTGTGATGGCAGCGACAGCCACCGGTTGTGCTTTGGACGAATCAGTGGTTGGCTGGTCGGCAGTCTGCAGCCAGGCGTTGGGCACCCGCGTCACCTCATCAGCACGGTTGACCGCTGACGCGACCAGCTCGATAGTGACCTCCAGTTCGTACTCGATGACGAGCTGACGGAAAACAGCCACGCGCCGTCGGATAAGCATTTCGGACTGCGCCTTGGTTCGCAGCCTTGCCTTACCCGACAGCGCGTCACTCAGCCAGCGGTGCACCGTCACCGAGTCTGTCCGGAGCGTCAGGCGACGGAAGCCCCATGCTACCGCCAGGTTGACACCGTTGAGAGCGGCATCCAGTTCTGAGATATTGATGTGCACGTCCCTCTCCGATTCGGCACGCAGCCAGGACGCGTCCTCGATGATGGCGCCCGTGTCAGGGTCAGTGAGCACGACACCGCGGGCGATGGAGCTGGCGTCGGTCCACACCACGACGCTCGTCCCTGTCACACACCACTGGCCGCGTGCCGGGTCACATG